AAATAGGTGAATTACCATTTTCGGTTGAGAACTAGATATGGTGAATCTTGAGGTTTCAGAGGAAGCTAAGGGTATGGTTGAATTCGTGACAAGATTTGAGACAAGTTTCATGTGTTGACCATTTGCAATGGAGGCCTGTAGAGAGAACTAGGGTTGAGGAAGACGACCGGAGCACCACCGGTGGTGGCCGGAGCTGGGCGCGAGTTGCAGAGGTTTGAAAAGGTTGAAGATGACTCTGGGACCATTGGATGGGGGTTGGACTTTGACTAGAAGCTTGATCCAATGGCCACGTTTTAATTTCAAGTTGTGAAGGATCTGATTAAATGAAACGCTGCGTTTCATTTAGTAGCTGATGCTGGGCTTAGTGAAATAATTGTTATCCACACACCCCAGCGAGCCCAATCCATTATTTGTGCTGATTATCATTGCTATCCACACCGCGCTTGTTATTATTTTAGTTGGCTTTTCATTGTTTTTTCATTTTATTCATGGTTCTTGGAAAATTCATAATAAATTGAAAATTAATCCAATTAATCCCATTCTTTTTGCATTTTACTCATGATTGAGTCTAGTATTTTTTAGATAAAAAATATTTTCATTTCATGTATTTTCTGATTTAATGGGAATTTTACATTTTAATTGACATTAAAATGGTTTTGTTTGATACATAATTTTGTGGAATTTTGTGTGATCATGTGGTGATGACTTTGATCCTAATTTTTTGTGTGTGATTAGGTTAGACATGTATGCTCCCATAGAATTTTTCTCACATTTTTGTGATGAAAATAGGTGTGCTTTCTAGATTGATATTTAGGTGCTTCCTTTTTAGGGTTTTAGGTTGATACCTTTGGATTTAGGATTTAATTTTAGGGCTTAATAGATGATTTAGTCCCTGATTTTTATATGAGGCATTCTTAATTGAATTAGGATCCCTTAGGAATTTTTGTAGAAATTTATAGGATAGTTTCCTATTTTTGATTGATTTTAGCTTTAGTGCTAGTTTTAGGTGATCCTAACTTACTAATTCAACTAGTTTAACTTCTTTAGTTCCCTTAGACTAGGGTTTTTGTTTTGTTTGCCTTTGGTTGAGATTGAAGACAAGTTGAAGACAAGGTGAGGATGCTTGAAGTTGCTTGAAGTTGCTTGGAGCTAGGAATTGCTTGTGCCTGAAGGTGTCTGATGAAGGTTTAGGAGATAGGAGACATAGGGAGAGCCTTATAGTTAGAATGATTTCTTTCACAAATATGGAAAGCATCTTGTGCTTCCATTGCTCCCAATGACTAAAAGTCCTTCTCAGATATTCACATCCCTCCTTTGGATGGATGAGTGGCTTTATCTGGGAAGTAGAACTTTGAGGGAATCAGTCTCTCATAATGATGAACCCTTACAGGCTTCCTTTGGTTGTCAGTAATCTGTTTATCATTTCCCCTCATTCTGTTAAATCAATGGTCTTCTGGTTTGAGTATCTTGAAGATGTTGGACTTGAGTTTGAAGATGAGGACTTCACTAAAGAGTGTGGAAGAGGATGATTCCTTGAGCATTGCCATTGTAGCTGAAGCTTGAAGAGCAAGAAGAGCAAGTTGATACTTGAAGACCCAATGGAGATTGAATGAAGAGCTGAGGCTTAAAGGATTGAAGGATGAAGTTGAAACTTCCATGTAATTGAAGACTACTCTGAGAAGCTGAAGCTTGTAGGAGAAGAAGACCAAGTTGATACTGGTAAAGCAAAGAGAGCTGAAGCTTGAACACTAAGTTGATACTTGTGAAAATGATTCAATTGAGATTGAGTGTGGAGTTGAGGCTTGAGGAATAAAAGATGAGTTGAAACTTACATTGATGCTTGGAGATCCTGAAGGAATCAATTTGATACTGGTAGTTAAGAGTGAAGCCTGAAGGTAGAATTGACTCTGAGAAGCCGAAGCTTGAAGAAGAGGATTAAGTTGACACTTATGTTGATGGGTTGAGACCTGGAGAAGCAAGTGGGTACTTGTCACAGAGGATGGTAGCCTTGAAGGGTGGTTGAAGTCTGAAGACTGGATGGCTGTTAGAAGAGCTGAAGCTTGAAAGGGAAAGAGGGAGTTGTTGACCTGCTTTCTTGTCTGTTTTCTTTTCTGTATTGATGTGCCTTGTTTGACTTGCCTGATGCATTAGAATAAGTCCATGATTAGACTGATTTGATCTAGGAGCATGATTGCACTAGAGGTTGAGTTCCTCCCTCTGCTTGTATTTTTACTGTATGGCTTTGCTTGCGGGTATTCGGTAGAGCCCTGCCCCCTTGCCCATGTGGTTTATTTTGCTTGACAGCATGTTATTTTTACTGTATGATTGCAGTTTATTGTATCTTGCTTGATAGCATGTCTTTTTGTATGATTACTGTTATTCATATCTGGCTTGAGGTTGAGATGAGCTTGTGGAGGCTGACACCCCACACACATTTCCTCCCTCACTTGCATTGCATGCATTTTATCGTATATCTGTTTACTGTTTAAGCTGATGCTTTATCTGTTTCTGTTTATCATTGATATGATCCCTTAGGACTCTCACTTCCTTTGATAAGGAAGTGATGATAGAACTTTAGGTTGAAACCTATGCATGATAACTTCTAGGAGTTCCTTGTTTCGAACTTCAACCATAGGATGAATCCTTGGTATGACAACAGTAGGACTTGATAGTCTCCCCGTAGTTGAACCTGTTTTCTTCTCATCTCAAAACAGCTTAAAATACAGTAATCATGAATGATTTCTTCCGTACGTCACGAGCCTTAAGCTATCTGAGAAAGGATTGTTGGAGAGCTTCTTTTCAACAGTCTGGATGTTTAGTATGGCACCCTTTGGGTGACATGCGACGCATTCACTCTCAGGTCATAATCTTTAGTGCGATTGAAATTGCAAACATAATAAAAAACACTTCTTCCGTAAAAGACAGAAAACAAACTTCAAACCTTTTTGCCCCGTGGGCCCATAATTCAAAGGAAAGCTTTTCTGAAGAAAAGAGTGTCGTTAAACTTCAGCGCCACCGCAAACAGGCTTTGTCCCTAACTGCTGAAATGCTGTTTAACCCTACTCGGTAAAACAGATGAATCTGAATCCCCGTAATCCGTATTATCCCGAACTACGTAAGCTCTGATCTCTCATACCTGTTGAGAGTACGTAGGCACAATACTGATGTATTGGCGAGCCACCTTCCCCATAACCCGTAGTAGGTCGAACTACGTTGACTCTGATTTCTCATTCTCTGATGAGAATATGTAGGCATAAAGCGCGACGCTTTGCCGAGTCGTTTTTCTTTTCTGTTTAAGCCAGCCTTGATAGGTAGATAGATAAACCAACTCGTCCAGTAAACACAACAAGTGTGGATCCCATCGAGTACGATGGACGTGAGGGGTGCTAATACCTTCCCCTTGCGTAACCGACTCCCGAACCCAGACAACGGTTGCGATGACCTTGTCTTATACCCTTTTCGTTAGGTTTTTCCGATCGTTTCCTTTCCCGCTCTGAGGGATAAATAACGAAAGGTGGCGACTCTTCTGTTTTGCCGGCACCTTATTTTCGCGGAAGCGACAAGCTCCAAGTGCTATTTGTTGTTAGATGGAATGGTCCATTTGTGATGTACTTTCACAATAATTTCCACAACTCTTTCTTGTCATTTATTTTGACAATCTTCTCAAACGGCCTTGCCATTATTTCAAGTCCGCATTTGACATATGCAAACTATATCATGTACAGAAAAACACATTTGCAGAAATACAAAAGAATAAAATCATCTAAAATACAAATGTTCACTGTCTTTTATATTTTTTTTACAATAAACTACAACATAGTAATATCATGTTTGTTAGTAGCAGAAGCTAAAAAAAACAATTAAATCTACTTAAAAAATATAAAGTTCTTAGCTTTTATTTTGAATATCATACAAAAAACAATTTCATTTATAATCGATATGAACAAACATTTAACAAGTCACATAAAACTTGAGAATCTTAGCTTGATACTCGAAAACGTTAAACATTCAGCAGAATAAAAGATGATGATGAAGATGATTCGAAACATTTAATAAATGTAATGTAAATAAAACTATGAAGAAGAATCAACAATTTTGATGTTGGTAGGAAACATCATCTTCAAAGATGAGTTGATGTTGAAGAAATTGAAGAATTTGAGAGGATGAGATTGGATAGAAAAAAAAGAGTTGCTATACAATCTAAAAATAAAGATTTTGGACAAATTTTCGGGTATGAAAGAGAAAACAAAGAGTTGTTACACATGTATAATTTGTTGCATTGGAAACCACAAAAAGTTGACAAATGAATATCAGATAGATAGTTAGTATAAAACTAATATTTTGTAGAATCCATATAAGTTGTTAACAAATACAAAATAATTGGTATGAAGAGTGTGACTATATCATTAGAAATAAAACTTTGATTCGAAAAATCATTATTTGGACACAAAAATTTTCTATTTTGATGAAATGACAATTTTTAAAAGAAGGCAGATATGATTTTTTCACAAAATCAAATTTTCTTATATTATAAATTAAAAAAATATAAATCTCATTATTTAATTCCCAGAAAACTTATTCCAAAGAATAATATTAACATCCGTGAAACAAAGACACCCTTAACTTAACCCTCTTTTAAAAACTTTTTTTCTTCAATTTTTAATGAAAAAAACTAAATAAAGTAATTTTAATTTCACATATTTTTATCTTTCCCAACATAACCACTAAATCCACCTAACTTACAGCAACATTAATACCAACCTGAATCAAGATACATAAAAACAAAAGACACGTCTCATGTGAAGCAATCAAAAGAGCAATTTTCAAACATCACCACTAAAACAATTAAGTAATGTCAACAATCCCTTTGAATTTTATGGCCATCAAACGAAATTCATGTTCATGTACTGTTTCTTTTCATCTATCTTTATTACTCTTCACTGCGAAAAAAATCTTCAGTTTCTAACTTTTCACAACCAAAATCCATACCTTTTTCTTCCATGGACACTCAAAATCTGATTCTACATTTCATTCTTCTGATTTTCATTTTCATTCCCTTTTCATTCTCTTCTTTCATTCCTTTAGATGACTATCTTCTCAACTGTGGATCAAATACCAATGTTACTCTTTTCAACAGGCTTTTCATAGGTGATGATGATTTCACCAACAAAGGTTCAATTTTGATATCTTCAGACAAATCAGTTTCCTTAACCAACCAAAACCCTCCTCCAAATTTGTCTACTTTGTATCATACTGCAAGAGTTTTCAACAAAATGGGAAGTTACAGATTCATCTTGAAGCAAAATGGTACCTTCTTTGTTCGTTTTCATTTCTCATCTTTTAAGGCTCATGGTTTTGATCTTAAAGTTGCAAACTTTAGTGTTTTGGTTGGTGGGAAATTGATTTTGAATAGTTTCAATCCTAAGGATAGTGCTAATGATGCAATTATTAAAGAGTTTATTTTGAAAGTGGAATCAAGTTTGCTTGAAATTGTGTTTATACCTGTTAGTGATTCTGGTTTTGGCTTTGTCAATGGTGTTGAAGTGTTATCTGCTCCTGAAGATTTTGTTGTAGATTATGGAGCTAGGTTTGTTGGTTCTTTTGGTATTAGGGAATACAAGAATCTTACTTACGATGTTTTAGAAACGATTCATAGGATTAATGTTGGAGGTGTGAAATTAACTCCTTTTAATGATACCCTTTGGAGGACATGGATTCCTGATAGTGAATTTCTGGTTTTTAAGGAAGCAGCTAAGGCTGTAGTGAGCACTCACACACCGGATTATCAGAAAGGAGGCGCGACTCAGGAGATTGCGCCCGATAGTGTTTATATGACTGCTCAGGAAATGAATAGGGATAATCAATCCATTTTAGCTTCACAATTCAACATAACATGGAATTTTCAAGTGGATTCTGTTGGTGTTCGACACTTGGTTCGGTTGCATTTTTGCGATATTGTTAGTCCTTCTCTTAATTTGCTGTACTTTGATGTGTATATTAATAGATATTCGGCGTATAAGGATGTAGATTTGTCGTCACTTACTTTCCATATGCTTGCGTCTCCGGTTTATGTCGATTTCGTTGTTGATTCTGATGACTCGGGTGTTATTCAAATAAGTGTTGGCCCTTCTAGTCTTAGTAGTTCGATGAGGACAAATGCGATACTTAATGGCGCCGAGATTATGAAGGTTGTGAATGTTATGGATTCAAGTTCACATGTTGCTCGTAGGAAGAAAAGGTTGTCGGAGGTGTTGGTTGGTTCAATTGTTGGAGGAGTTATTGTTTTACTTTTAGTTATAGCTGTTTTTCTAGTTTGTCGCGGATGCAGGAAGAAGAAACCGAAACTAAGGATAGTTGAAAGTGTTGGATGGACGCCTTTACGCATGTTTGGAGGGAGTTCACTTAGCAGAATGTCGGAAGGGACAGCTTATCAGTCTCCCGGTTCATACGGACATTTCGGCTTGAAAGTTGCTTTTGTTGATATACAATTAGCAACTAACAATTTCGACGAAAGCCTAGTTATAGGATTGGGTGGATTCGGTATGGTTTACAAAGGTGTTCTAAGAGACAATTTGAAGGTTGCTGTCAAAAGAGGCATGCCAGGATCAAGACAAGGTCTACCTGAATTCCAAAGTGAAATAACAATTTTATCCAATATTCGACATCGCCATCTTGTTTCTCTAGTTGGATTTTGCGAAGAGAATTCAGAAATGATACTGGTCTATGAGTATGTCGAAAGAGGGCCACTCAAAGATCATCTATATGGTTCAGAAGGACTCCTTCAACCTTTGTCGTGGAAGAAGCGTCTCGAGATATGCATCGGTGCTGCTCGAGGTCTACACTATCTTCACACAGGTTTCACACAAGGAATCATCCACCGTGACATTAAATCGACCAACATTTTACTTGACGAAAACTATGTTGCTAAGGTTGCTGATTTCGGTCTTTCGAGATCAGGACCTTGTATCGATGAAACACACGTGAGTACTAATGTGAAAGGTAGTTTCGGTTATCTTGATCCAGAGTATTTTCGAAGGCAACAACTTACAGATAAATCAGATGTTTATTCATTCGGCGTTGTTCTTTTCGAGGTTCTTTGTGTTAGGCCTGCTGTTGATCCACAACTTGACAGAGAACAAGTGAATTTAGCAGAATGGGCTCTTCGATGGCAGAAGAAGGGCATGTTGGGCCATATTATTGATCCTTATCTTGTTGGTAAGATCAAAGAAAGCTCATTGAAGAAATTTTCTGAAACCGCGGAGAAATGTTTGGCCGAATACGGCATTGATAGGCCGTCTATGGGTGATGTGTTATGGAACTTGGAGTATTCACTTCAACTTCAAGAAAGTGATCAAGAAGTGAATGTCACATATGCTGATAGCATTGCTGATTCAGAAGTGAATGTTACATCTTCTATAATTCCTAGGAATCCTCCTAGCAGCATAAGATTAGAGGAAGATTATGGTAACAATTATTCTGATGTAAGTAATGTAAGTACTACCAAAAAATTTTCTCATGACTAGGGAGGCGAGATAGAAATAGAAACTCGCCGAGGTTTTGTTTGGATATTTTAAAACTTTGCAAAATGAAATGAACCAAAGCACGATGGAACAGAGTTTTTATTCTATTGTTTGAGTATTTTATGATGTAGGATCATTCTATCGTTTGACTATTTTATATAGGAACCGAACATGTAATTGTGAAATGCATTAATAGGCAAGGACATTGATAGTTTATTATATATGTTCGGATGGTTTACTTTTCTTTTTCTTTTTGTTGTTGTTGTGACATTCAAGAGATATTCTATAACTACCATAGTGTAACTTTATCAACTGTAGCTATATTCTGGATTTGATCAAACTTGAAAAATTGTAGTAAACTAATTTCTCCATTTTTTGTTAAGAAAAAAATTAACTTCAAATTTATTGAATAATAACTGTTATGGTGAATTAATTATATTTTAGTCATTATAAATTATAAGATTTTATTTTTCCGTGTTCATAAAAATATTATTCTTAAACCCTACATACTTATTCGACATTTTTCGTCTATAATATTAAGTTATCATGGGTTTTTTAATATTTTTATAACATATTTATAATATTATAAAAATTCAATTATAAAATTTTTATTTTTAAACATGAAATTATTTAAATATAAATTTTTTAAACACTAAAGTTTGAGATAAAAGTAACTAAAATATGAACATACAAATCAATTTTGAACTTTTTTGAAATATTTTTCCATAATATTTTAAATATACTTGCAAGAAATTATTCAAAAGTAATTCTTTTTAAGGATAAAAAACATACATAAAATCACCTAATGGCAAAGACTAAAACTCTCCAAAATAATTTTTTAAGGAATAAACGGTGTGATTATTAATGGGGTAAAGAATAAATTTTTATAATTTTAAAGAACAAAACACACATTTAGTCATGTACTAGAAAAAAAATACATCAACATAACTTTACCAACGAGGGTAAATAAAATCTCAGTCGTATTGGTAATAATCTGCATATCTCTTCATTCATCGTTGATCACGAGTTTTAATATTACTTTCGATATTATATGCATTTAAGACTCATTAAAGGTCATTAAGACCATTGTTCCCTTGATTTGAGCGAGATCAATTTCATGGTCATTAAAGTTACGATTCTCTTGGCGCAACCCGATTCATAATGTATTAGTTTGCTTTGAATGCATTGTCTATGCATTAAGTCTCTTTATTTGGTTGTCTCGTTTAAGTTGGTTTTGGGTCAGATGGGTCGACCTAATCTTCTAACTCGTCTATCTCGACTTTATAATCTTGGGACAAACATTTGTTAGTCTTGGGGCGAGCTTTTCCGAATTTTTGCTATAATTTAGCCTAGTCCTAAGGAGTGGGCTCTATGTCGTGCTATCAAGTCACTTTGCACCAAATAGGCCTAAATGTACATGGTTTGCTAAGCATGAGTCAATTAGGGGGTAAATGATTTTCTAATATCGATTAAGAGGTCGAATATTTACACAGTCCTTCAAGCATGAGTCGTGTATGGGTGAAATACTTTGGGAATGACACTCTTATGTAGCGAGTTTCTTCTAACTTCATGGATTTGATGAAATATGGTCATGATCGACCGCTGTCCATTGGTTACCCAAACTTAATTTCTAACTTTTCTACTTATAGTAGGTGTAACAACTTTGACCGAGCTATAACGATTACTAGATATTTTAGGAACCGAATAATCATTATGGGCTACTCCCATTCTCTGCATTCTAGGGAAATTACTTTTAATGATGTTGATTTTTTTCTTCCACTTTTATCTTTAAGTAGGCTTGCGATATCACTTCATTTCCCTTAGAAGGCAACACATGATTCATCAAAGACAAGAGGGTGACATTCCTCGCCCAAAGTAGGGCTCCCTAGTCGCTAGCTTATCGCAATGAGCGCCCATTTATTACAATGGGCGCCCATTATCTGCAGCAGATGCCCCTTGATCACGTCTCCTCACCCACTTATCTCTTTGTTCTTTTGACTCAAATGTGCTCCTATTTTATGGTTGATGCCATGTGTGCCCTAAAGCTGTGAATATCCATTCTTTGATACCTACATTGCATCCTACTGTCCACTTAAATTTAGGGTTAAGGTTGTGTTCTAGTTCTGTTGTGTCGGCACTTATCATAAGTCATCTCTACACATGTAACAAACACATAAAAACTCACAAATGAGAGCACTTATTGTGCTCTTTACAACTTACTTATAAACAACAAAAGTGAAATAAAATTAACCTAGTAAACTGCTTAATAAAAATATAAAATCAAGTGTTAAAGGCTATAATAACTCACACATAATGAGTTATCCGTAGTGATGCATGAAGAATTCAGTATAGAAGGAGAAGAAAGCAACACCAAAATAAAGCTAGAGATGTTAAGGAACATACAACTAGGGATGGGAATAGGCCAGGCCAGCCTACAAGGGTCTACAACCTAGCCTATTTAAGGCCAGACCAGGTCACACCTCTTTAATAAAAAGTCAGGCTTAGGCTTTTCTAAAAGCCTATTTAATTAAATAGGTCAGATTAGGCTATTAAAAAAGCCTATGAAGCTTTATAGGTCAGCCTATATTTTCATATATATTAAATATAGTCTAAATAAACTGACCTATATATGCATATATATTAGAAAAATGCTAAATAGGTTGGCCTACATATGCATATATATTAAAAAAATGTTAAATATACCAACCTATATGTGCATACATAGACAAACATATAAGGTTTCTTAGTAATATGGATTAATTGAAAACCTTAATATGAAATAGGCTTTTAAATAGGCTTTCAGGCCAAGCCAGACTTTTGAAAATGTCAAGTCAGACCAAAAAAAGAGGCTATAGTAGGGCATAGGCCAGACTCGGGCCTTGTAAGTTTATCGTAGGTCAGACTCAGACCTTCTAATGCCTAGCCTATTTCCACCCCTATGTACAACCAGTAACCCTAATAACTCACTACAGTTGCCCAAGAATCACTATATTGTGCTTGTCAGATACAAGGAGACTTTTAACCAAAATGGGAAGCCTATAGAGAGGTTCATGCCCTTGAACACCCGGTGTGAGCATATATGGCATGAGTTCCTCCTTACATATGACATTCCTCTTCTATAACCCCTAAGTTAGACGTTATGGGACCTGAAACCAGCAGGTAATGAGAGTTTCACATGGTTGAAGGACACCACACTAAATACTACTACCAACTAAATAATGAGATAAAACGCCTCATCCAAAAGGGCTGCTTGAAGAAATATGTCAGAGGCAATTCCACCCAAATTCAAGGAAGATACAACTCCTAGGGGTAAGATTTCCTATAAGTCCCAAACCCGAAAAGGGCAAGTGTTGCAGTGAGGATCAAAGACCATATCTATTAAGTTAACTAAGCTCACAAATCGTAATTCACCACTGATCTTTAATTTATCCAAAGGAAGGGGAAAAGAACAAATAACCCATAAACATGCAATGCAAAGACAATGCAATAAATAGATCTAAGGTTCAGGGGTTGGTTATACTAAGGAAAGGTAATGGCACCCTAAGTATCTATAGTACTCTATATGAACCTCTTGTCTTATTGTGTTATTTGTTAAGTTGTTTGCTAAAAGTGAAAAGATGGGCAAAGTGAAAAGAAAAAGGGTGGAAAGAGAAAAAGGTAGAAAAAGAAAAAGGTAGCTCGCTAGGATCTTGCAATCCTATGCCTACGTATCCTGTATAGGAAGTCAGAGCAATCGTAGTTCGGCTGACTACGAGTGAAAAAAGAAAAGAAAAGGGTGCTCGCGAAGGATTGAGACCTTGTGCCTACGTATTCTCAAAAGGAACTTGAGAAATCAGAGTGTCCGTAGTTCGTGAAACCATGGGTAAAACCAATGTTTGTTGGTTGGTTTTAGGAGAAGAGGCAAGTGGTCATCTTAATAAGAATACTCAACTAAATGATAGATCTAAAATATATTATTTTGTTGGCTCGATTTACACACACTATTTAGGATTTTATTTCCGTTTTCTTGTATTATGCTTTTGTTTTGTTTCTTTTTTCAGGTTTTTGTGTTTTCAAGGCTACTCGAGAAGAAATGAAGGAAAAACGAGCTAAAAACCTACTTTCTGAGGAATTGTACACATGGCTTCCACCATGGCGGGCGCCATAGGGGATGCCACACATTGGATAGAAGCCAATTGCTGACAACTGTCACATCTCCCACTCCTTTCCACCCTAGTTCATGTGGCGGGCGCCACAAGGGGGTGGCGGGTGCCACCTTCACATGCTCGTTTCCCTCCCAAAAGGAGTTGGGGGGCATTCTTATCCTTACCTGTACTTTCCTACCACTATAAATAGTGGAGTTTTGTTTCATTTCTGAACATCCAAGCTTAATTACAGAACTCAAGCCATAAATTTCACCTATTGCAAAGTGATAAACTTCTCATATCGAGGGGTTATCACACTGTCTAATTGAGTTTAGAGCACTTGGGTAGAAGTTAATCATGCCGCCATTTTATTTCAGTATTTTTACTTCCAGTTGTACAAGATTTTAAAGCCTCTCGTTTAGAGCAGGTTTATGTCTACTTATCGCCTTTTATTTATTTATCCGCCGTTTATTTCCCGCACCGCTTTTATTTCTCGCACCGCACTTTATTTATTTACCCGCATTTTATTTACTCGCACTTATTTACCATGTCTATTTACTTTACCATGTCCGGCTAAATCTTAAAGGCTAGGATGCAAGGATTGTAGTTATAATAGTATTCCATACGGCTGTCGATAGAATTACTTAGGGGTTATTTTAACTTTTAACACTTATTTTCTGTACTTAAATTTGGTTAGTTTTAACTGTTCCAAGGAAGCGAAAGCGCTTGGCTTAGTTAATTAGGAATCTTTAATGTTTGAGAAAATCGATTTTAAAACTGTTTTCGGATGCATTTATGGATTTAAAAGTCCGGTTCGCAAGAACCCCTTTTTGTTAGAAATTCCAGGTCAAAATACTTTTCAACTAAGTTAAGAAACTA